GGCCCTCGGAGTGTCCAGAGCCCCTCACCCTCATCTCTGCCCAGGAGGTGATTTACAGAATCCACTAGCCCTCAGAACATCGGAAGCCCCTCACCCCCACCCCTGCCCCTCACCTTCACTCCCGAGGTTGTTTTACGGGTATGAAAGGTCTTGACTCCCTCCTTTCGGGGCCACGGGTTGGAGAGACGCGAGTCCTCCGTGGCCGCCGGCAATAAAGACCCTGCAATTTGGCATACTTTTGTCTTGGTGTTGACTTTCTATGCTCGGGCCAGTACAACAAAATGAGTGAAATTGAAATGAAGAAAAGAATACAATATACAATAAAACAAAAAGTTGTGGGTTTTTTTTGTTTTGAAAAGTTAAACAGAGTTGACAAACATTTAGCCTGGCTAAGAAAGAAGAGGGAATGTCTTGTCTTCTGCTAGCTTTTAAGTTTTTTGATCTTGCTCCTCTAGCTCTTTCAATTTGGATGATAGGGCGTCGATTTTAGATCTTTCCTGGCTTCTCATGTGGGCATTTTTTACTATAAATTTCCCTCTAGACACTGCTTTAATTGTGTCGCAGAGATTCTGGTACGTTGAGTCTTTGGTCTCATTGGTTTCGAAGAACATCTTTATTTCTGCCTTCATTTCATCGTTTATCTAGTTGACATTCGGGGGCCAGTTGTTCAGTTTCCATGAAGTTGTGCAGTTCTGAGTTAGTTTCTTAATCCTGAATTCTAATTTGATTGCACTGTGATCTAAGAGACTGTTTGCTATGATTTCCATTCTTTTGCATTTACTGAGGAGGGATTTACTCCCAATTCTGTTGTCCATTTTAGAGTAGGTGCAATGTGGTGCTGAGAAGAATGTATATTTTGTGGATCTGGGGTAGAGAGTTCTGTAGATGTCTATGAGGTCCTCTTGGTCCAGATCTGAGTTCAAGTCCTGGATATCCTTGTTAATTTTCTGTCTTGTTGATCTGTCTAATATTGACAGTGGAGTGTTAAAGTCTCCCACTATTATTGTGTGGGAGTCTAAGTCTCTTTGTAGGTCATTAAGAACTTCCTTTATGTATCTGAGTGCTCCTGTACAAGGTGTGTATATGTTTAAGATTGTTAGCTCTTCTTGTTGCATTGAGCCTTTTACCATTATGTAATGCCCTTCTTTGTCTCCTTTGATCTTTGTTGGTTTAAAGTCCATTTTATCAGAGACTAGGATTGCAACTCTTTCTTTTTTTTTTTTTTGCTCTCCATTTACTTGGTAAATCTTCCTCCATCCCTTTATTTTTAGCCTGTGTGTGTCCTTATACATGAGTTGGGTTTCCTGATGTGCAGAAATCACAAGCATTCCTATACACCAATAACAGACTAACACAGAACCAATTCAAGAGTGAACTCCCATTCACAATTGCTACAAAGAGAATTAAATACCTAGGAATATAACTAACAAGGGATGTAAAGGACCTCTTCAAGGAGAACTACACACCACTGCTCAAGGAAATAAGAGAGGACACAAACAGATAGAAAAACATTTCATGCTAATGGTTAGGAAGAATCAATATCATGAAAATGGCTATACTGCCCAGAGTAATTTATGGATTCAATGCTATCCCCATCAAGCTACCAATGACCCTCTACACAGAACTGCAAAAAAAAAAAAAAAAAAAAAAAGCCTTAAACTTCAAATGAAACCAAAAGAGAGCCCACATAGCCAAGTCAATCCTAAGCAAAAAGAACGAAGCTGGAGGCATCACACTACCTGACTGCAAACTATACTACAAGGCTACAGTAATCAAAACAGCATGGTACTGGTAACCAAACAGACATATAGACCAATGGAACAAAACAGAGGCCTCAGAGGCAATGCCACACATCTACAATCATCTGATCTTTGACAAACCTGACAAAAACAAGCAATGGGGAAATGATTCCCTGTTTAATAAATGGTGTTGGGAAAACTGGCTAGCCATGTGCAGAAAGCAGAAACTGGACCCCTTCCTGACACATTACACTAAAATTAACTCTAGATGGATTAAAGACTTAAACATAAGACCTAACATCATAAAAACCCTAGAAGAAAACATAGGCAAAACCATTCAGGACATAGGCATAGGCAAGGACTTCATGACTAAAACACCAAAAGCATTGGCAACAGAAGCCAAAATAAACAAAAGAGATCTAATTAAACTCCAGAGTTTCTGTACAGCAAAAGAAACAATCATTAGAGTGAACCGGCAAGCAACAGAATGGGAAAAAATTTTTGCAATCTACCCATCTGACAAAGAGCTTATATCCAGAATCTACAAAGAACTAAAACAGATTTACAAGAAGAGAACAAACAAACCCATTCAAAAATGGATGAAGGATGTGAACAGGCACTTTTCAAAAGAAGACATATATGAGGCTGACAAACATATGAAAAAATGCTCATCATCACTGGCCATTAGAGACATGCAAATCAAAACCACATTGAGACACCATCTCACACCTTTTAGAATGGTGATCATTAAAAAATCAGGAGACAACAGATGCTGGAG